AATCACCAGTTTGTCAAAGAAAATCCTTACATAACTTGCACATAACTTGATAATACAAGTGCAGAGGGTTATGCAGCTGAGGAGGAAGCAGGAGGCCATGGGGATCAGAAGCAGGAAGATTTCAAGAGAAGCAACTCTGTAATTAGAGTTTCGTGGTTGTTTAGGCTGGCTTAAAATAGTGAGAGAAGCTGCTTTGCCATTCCTGGTACTTGTGCAAAATGGTTTATTCTTGCTGTTGTATCGTCTCCTCCCCCCACTAGAATCCACCTTTGAAGCCCCGTGATGAATTGGATGAGCAAATTGATTGAGTAAAAACAAATCCATAAAAATAGCAAGAAATGTAATCAGTAACAAGCAGAGGTCTGTAGTTTAAGCCAGGTCAGCTTCCCAGGCCTTCGCCCCATGTTCCCTGCATTTACATACAATGTGAGTTTCACTTGAACTGTGCAAATGAGAAGGGGAGGTTATAAACAGCTTGTAGTTTGTGAATATGAAATGTGGTAGCCTGTTGGCATGAACGTTGCTGAGATGAGGTTTCAGGTGTGCAAGGGAATATTGTTCCAAAAGAATCTTGACTTACATAATTTTATTGCTTGAGAGAGCAATTTCTGTTTATTTGTGCTTTCAGTGAATCCCCCGAAGTTTAGAAAATATAAAATAAATACAAATATAAAATTAAAAAAAGCTTGAAGAGTGATTTTGTTGTAGCAATTGACGAAATAGTTGGCATTGTCTGTCCCTGTTATTTATGTTAAAGCATAAATGTATGCATCTAAAATTAAGAGGCTTATTTCAAAAGTAGTATTTGGAATTGAAATAATCATTAAAGATTATATAGGTTTACAGTAATTGTTGTATTCTTAAAAATGATTTTAGACTAATAGTAAATTTGTTTGCTTTTGAAGTGGTACAGTATTTATTTTATTGTGGTTCCAGTACTGAAAGTGCTTTGTTTCTTTTGATTAATGTGAATATTTTATTATTAGCATTCTGATTTACGATTAATATATTACCTAATTAGAGTTTCAGAGAGGACTTTGTTCCTTCAACAGGTTGTGAGAAGATATATTTTGGGCTCTGTGGTTGACAGTGAGAAGAATTATGTGGATGCCCTCAAAAGAATCCTGGAGGTACCTAATATCTTTTGCTTTTGAAAATGAGGAAATCTGAGAAGTAATTAAATCCTTAAAGAATCTGTAACATGATTCACATGGATTTTGTTACAGATGCCTCATGCCAAATATTTGGAGAGGTTTTGTATGTGGATGCTTTTATGCGAGTGGTAGAATTTTATGTTAAGACAATTTTTTAGCTAATTTGAATCTATGTTTATGTCTTTTTTTCCACAGCAATATGAGAAGCCTCTTTCAGAAATGGAACCAAAATTACTGAGTGAAAGAAAACTCAAAATGGTCTTTTATCGAGTTAAGGAGATTCTTCAGTGCCATTCGATGTTTCAGATAGCCCTGGCCAGTCGTGTCTCTGAGTGGGATTCTGTTGAAATGATTGGCGATGTCTTTGTGGCTTCAGTAAGCAAGTGCATCTGATCAGATGATCTATTTTTGTTTTAGAAATGTTATTTATTATCCCTGTCTTTCTCTCCAACCTGGCCACTTTATTCCCGTATTCTGCAATGCCTGTGGCAGCTTCTGGAGTCAGTGTATCCATTCTGGTGAGGCAACTGACACCAGCCTTGGTTAGCAGACATGGAAGAATTATGGCCAAAATTTTCAAACTTGGATCAAACTTTCAGACATTTAAGTGATTGCTTTTTCAGAGGAGCTAGACATTTGTAAATCCACCAAAATGGGACCCTAGCTACAATTTTGGATCTCAGTGGAGGCCTGGGCTTTGGACTATAGCTGAGTGCATTGACACTCTGTAATTCACAGCTTTTGTGTTTTAAGGTTCCTATCTTTTGTTCCACGCAAAGATCTCTTTTTGCTTCATGGGTGTTTCTATAGAGCCACCAATAGACCAAATACAAGGGCTTAGCTTCTAAGGTGGAGTTCTTAGCTGTCATAGGTCTCGGTAAATATGTGTTGGGCTTTCTTCTGTGTTTATAGTTAATGCTCTCCTTTTTACTTTTTCAGTTTTCTAAATCTATGGTGTTGGATGCATACAGTGAATATGTAAACAACTTCAGTACGGCAGTGGGGATTCTCAAGAAAACATGTGCCACCAAACCTGCCTTTCTAGATTTTCTAAAAGTGAGTGCATTTAAACTTGAAACAGCTAGTCAGATTAAATAATTAAGGCTACGTAAATTAAAAGTTAGAAGGAAATTTGGTTAATGGTGTTGTATATGGTGTGACTGCTTTTGTAGACTGTGGATTATGGATTTCATAAATGGAAGAGAATTCACTTCCCCTGCTATAGTTTCAGAGCAATAACATGGTTTTCGATCTAGGGTGTGTTCTGAAGTACATTGCGGTTTTGTCATTATTCAGGTCAATTTTATTTCTCTACTGGGATTTGGGCACCATTTGAGCTTACAGTAACATCTTGCTTTCAGGCATCTTATTTGGGATGTTTTTTACTTCTAACCATGTATGGCACAGAGTGGTTAAGAAATTGTATTTCTGTTTCACAGCACTTTTCCAGTGTTCTTAAAATCTCTTTTTTCTCCATTTTGTGGAATGAAATTGAAGAGAGTTGTGCAGATTGCATCCCGCTGTGGTGAATGTGGTGCTCCCAGGAAGAGTTCTGTGTGTGGAGACTCTGGCACATGCCACAGAAGCCCCTGGAAAGCCCTAATGGGGGGGATACCCTATGGAGTGTAACATCCATCCCAGGGCTTTTTAGTCTGCTGGTTTTTTGCTGGGAGCCTGGAAGCTCCGTTTGCCTAATTTTCTTGGGGGTTGGGCTGTTCCCCAAGAGTTGCCAGCCTGTCAGGTCAGTGGCATTGGTCTATGAAACACTGACATTCGTTGCCTTAGAAAGGCCTCACAGTGAAGTTTTTGGGTATCCTTGGAGGATGATGCAGGGCCTCGTCCCCAAGTCTGTTCTCAGATCTTAAAATCAACTAAGAATCTTTTGGAGCAGAGTAAATGCATCATACAGGATCGTGTTGTGTGGGCATTATGGCCCACCAAGACCACGCTGTCTAGTGAGGTTACAGTCACCTCATACCTCTTGCACTTTTAAAAGGACTTAATTCAACAGTGGCAAAACTGGCAGCTTTCCTGGCTCCCTGCCACCACCAACACTGGTGCTCAGAGCTGGGGGCTGCAACTGGGCGCTGCACAGAGAGAGAGGTGACATCTGTGTTCTCCAGCATTGGTGCTTTTGTCCAGCTGCAGTCAACAGAGTGTGGACCAGAATCTTCTCTGTGACTGGGTGGGCAAAAAACCTTGTGGAGGTGAATACAGAAAGTTGCTTTGAAACTGGTAATTGTAGCAGTAAATATCAATTTACTCTTTAGTATTGTTTGCTCTTTTTTAGTATTGAAAAGTGCCTCAGTTCTCCTTATTTTGAGTCAGCTACGTGTCTGGTCAAAATACTTCCAGTTGAAAGGATTTACACAAATAGTTATGAAAATAGTTACACGCATACAAATACTTATTAAATTTGTCTGGTTTTATCAGCTAGTTCTGATAAACAAAACAAGTTGTTGTTCTTCCTGAGTGCGAAGAACACTAACAGCATAAATTAAGTTTTCCTTAGTCTTTTTTTTTAATTAAGAAAAACTAAAATCTCTTTTTGTTTGTATAGTGTTGATATTATGGTGCTTTACCTACACATTGGTAGATAAAGATTTACAGTATCTTAGCCCTAAGAAGCAAAAGATTTGCAATATTTTAGCTCTAAGAAGCAGAGCAGCAATAGCAAATTATGGACTGTAAGTAAACAAGTAATTTGTTTACATTTTTCCTACTTAAGACCCTGAACCATTTAAGTCCTTGGGTTCATGTGCTGTAAGCTAAGCAGATATTTCAGTGCACTGCTTACAGGAAAAGCATGAATATGCATAGTTACTGTATTACTCTTGAGACTTCAGCCCTGCTCTGTTTATTTAAAGGAATTTTAATTTAGTGGTAGCCATTGTTTTAATGTTGATTTTTTTTCCTAAAGATACAGTATTTTTAAATAAAATTGCAGGATCTTTACAGTACCCTTCTTATAATAGATGCAAATGCTGTACAAGTATTTTCATTTTTGATCAGTAACTGATGGAAAGGCACTTGTGTGAGTAACCAGTATGACTTCCTTGCATTGCAGCAGTGTCAGGAGTCGAGCCCTGATCGAATCACACTGTATGGTTTAATGATGAAACCTATCCAGCGTTTTCCACAGTTCATTCTGCTATTGCAGGTAAATAATTTTTACTATAAGACTTACTTTATAAGTGCTCCTGTTGCGTTTGCATGTGGGATTGATTTACAGTTGTCCTCTGCTGCAGGAACATGCTGCAGTGGGTTTTATCTGCAGTTTTGTTAGGAAATACCAAGAAAAAAACTTCACTGCCTGGTAATGTCCTGATCGCCTAGTCTGCTTCCTGGCACAGTCAGCAAATATACTATAGGAAAATCTTAATAAATCAGATTTACTCTAAATTACTTAGCAGATTAGATTTAGTTGGTAAATCACCTCATAATAGAACTGTAGATATATTACACTACTCATTTAAATCAATTTGCTAGGTAATAATTCTTCAGACACCACTAAGACCTGTATGCTGTTGTTTTACTTTCTGTTTAAGTGACATACAAGAGAAAATTCATGTGTTGGGTAGTTCCGCACACATGGAGACAGTGGCATAAATGTGTTGTCTCCTGTACTGCTTGGCTTGCAGTGTCCGCTGGAAGGGGCCAGAGCTCCTTCTTGCCTGCAGTGCCTCCTCTTCCTCACAAGGAAGCTGAGAGCGCTCCCAAGCTGGGCCATTGGGGTGGGTGCCCCGAGCTCTCATCTCCACACAGAGCCCCACTGTGCAATGAGCACAGTCCCACAGTGCACTCGTGTATTGAGCCTTAACACCTGAGAACGTGCTCCAGGCAAACACGACGTTTGTAAAGCTGTGCAGAAGCCCTCCAGGCCTATGGCAGAAAAGCCCTCGGTGCGTTAGCTAGTCCTCCTAGGTGTCCCAGAGGAGGACAGACACCAGGGTGACGCTCCAGGAATTACTGTGGAAGAAAAACTAAGGTGCTCGGTGAGCTCACCTGTGGGCAGCCATGTCTAGAGCTTTCGAGGAAGTAAAACAGATGGAAAATAATGTGGTAGGAACTCGCAGTGAATATGTTGGGATGCTCGAGTGTTGCTGGAAAGAAGCAAAGTTTCATTCGAATGGTTCCAGGATGTGCCTACAAGAGAAGGGTTTTTAAAAGTTGTGACCTCAATGAGGTAACAAGTACTGTTACCCTACTTTGGGATTAGCACACTATCAGTGTTTTTGTGAGAAATAATAACTGTCATGAGAATAATATGGTGTAATTAAATATCATAAATGTTTAATTTTACCTCGCTTGACAGATATCTGCATGTAATATTGACTTTCAAATTTTGTTTAACGTGACTTTCATCTTCGGATGCTATTATTTGTTTTCAAGTTCATTTTCTGTACTTTCTTCCTATAAATACGCTGTATCTTTTTGAAGAACTATAAGGATATTCAGGAAAAAAGTAGAGTATCGTCTGAATATTCATTAGGAGTTTTCGATTGATCTTATTCTTAACACTAAGGTAAAGAACGATATCATAACTTTGAACAGGACGTGCTATAAACTTCCGCACTCTTTTGAATTTGACTTTAAAATTATATCCATTTTATTTTTTTTATCATTTATTTTTCCTCAGGATATGTTGAAGAATACTAATAAAGGACATCCTGATAGGTTACCTCTACAGATGGCTCTTACAGAACTTGAAACACTGGCAGAGAAGTTAAATGAAAGGAAAAGGGATGCAGATCAGCGCTGTGAAATAAAACAAATAGCAAAAGCAATGAATGAACGTTATCTGAACAAGGTTAGAAAATAGGAATGTGTGATGGAAGAATTTCTGTATTATTAGTTTCTGTGCCTTGAACAGTCTTTAGAATGGACACAGAAGGGACACCTACAAGCCTTTCTGTAGTGCTCAGCAAGATAGGGTCATTCTGTAGGTAGGAGTGAATTGTAAGTTATCTTCAGGACTAAATAGATTCACTGGTTAAAACCACAGTGAGCTGAATGGTTTGACAGGCTGAAATATCAACAGAGTTGAAATATCAACAGAGTATAAGTGTTCTGTGGCAGTGTAAAAGATGGTGCTGTTTCCTATTTCTATAGCAAATTCTCATGCAGATCTTTTCCATGAGAAGATTACTTTTATCCAAGAGTTGAGGAATTTCTCCTGAGTAAAGGCAAAGAAACAGTTTGTTACTAAAGAGCAGTTTGAGAAATGCTACTAGATGTGCCCAGTATCTCCCTTATTTTAAGGAACATCCTAGCCTGTTTCAGTTACTCATTTGAATCTCACAATATTTTAAAAGAATTTTCAGAGACATTCAGTAGGAAAGAAGGAGCAATCTTCTTTGTGTTTGCTAGTGGCTAACAGTAGCATAGCAAGTGGAAATCTATTTTTTTTTTTTTTTGCACTGGATGTTGCATGCATCATGTATAACATGCAGTTTTTGTTGTTTTTAAAATCTAGCTACTTAGCAGTGGAAACAGATACCTCATACGGACTGATGATATGATTGAAACAGTTTATAATGACAAGGGAGAAATAGTCAAAACCAAAGAACGACGACTTTTCATGTTAAATGACGTGTTGATGTGCGCAACCGTAAATGTGCGGTAAGGCTGGATTCATACTGTTTAAATGATCATTCAAGGTTGAGCTGGGAAAAATGGCACTTAATGGAAGGCTACTGAAATAATGCTACTAATGCTACATTTTTCTCTGTTGCCTGCTCATATTTTAAAACTCTGGAATAAACATGCAGAAAATCTTTATCACTTGGAGATTACAGGTAGAAAAGTTCTGTAGTGTCTATTTTTTGCTGTTTATTAGTATTTAATGGAGTGGAGGTTTTGTAGGTTCAGTACCCTTCTAATTTAGATAGTAGAGACTGTGCCTGCAGCTGTTACTGTTAGTCAAGTGCGGTTAGTATGTGCCTAAATCACACTTGCGTTTGGGTGTTGCTTGTGGCATAAATTGCTTTATATATTATTACATTCTGGCAGAGAAAATATGGGCCCTCAAAGCCTTTAAAAACTGCTTTTCTTAAGTGTGATCTGAGAGTTGATATTTTCTGCCCATTACTGAAGTGTGTAAGTTACCTCCAAGTGTGAAAGTACTCAGACTTTTCAATCATGTAAACACTTAGTGCCATGTTAGTGATGAACAGTGCCGTGGAGTAACTCTCCTTTTCAGAAAATGCACAAGGCAATGCTCAGTTATCCCAGAAGTTACACTTCTTTTCCTTTCCTCTTTACTGAGTTCTTTATTAACAACTGCATATTCACTTGGGATTCTTTGGGGGAAGATTACCTTTATCTATTTATTTTATCTTTTTGTGCGAGATCACTGTTTGCATTTTTTTGTGATTTTTTTTTTTTACCTGAAGCAGCGATATTCAAACTATTTTCCTTTTCCTTGTGAAAAGTCCATGTTTTTCCTGAGTTGCTGGGTTTCTTATTAAATCAACAGTTTCGGTTATCACTCTTGTTCCTGTGGGCATCACTGCTAATGAGCAGCCTCCTTTGGGGCAGTAGTCAGGCATGATGCTTGTGTCACACGAGGCTGTCAGCTCAAAAAAAGTTTCAATTCCGTAGTGTTTTTTTTTTTTTTTTCCCCCCTTGGCAGTTTAATTTTGCTTCTTAACCCAGTGAATGTATGGAACGGTGGCTTCCAGTCTTCGCTGGACTCCTTTGCTGGTAGTGATTTTCCGACTCCCCATTTGTGGATGCCCCCAGATTTTACCTAAACGGCGCTGTAGGTCCCTCAGAAACGAGAAACGTTACGTGCGCAGGCACTTGCGCAGCCGTCTCTGCTCGCTCCTCTTAGCCGCCTTTTGTGCCACTTCCCGGAAATAATCGAGATCCCAAGGGTCTGTGGATGGTGCGTTCAAAAATAGTTTTCTGTAGCTGGTAAAAGGCACGTGTTTCTGCAGAGCACATGCTGCTCGGAGGGTCCTCCTTCACACGCAATTCAGACAACCAGCCTAAACCAGAGACTTGCTTTGTAAGCAGCAGGACTCAGAGGAGGCAGATGCTCTCTCTAGTGACTGAGCAGCTGTGTTCTGCCTTGTCTTGTTTGCTTTCTTTCCAGTTAGATCTAGAGTTCGTAAATATTTCCTTAAGCTATCGTTTTTAATGTTTTTTTGTTTGTTTGTACTTGTCTCTTGGTTGCAACTGTATTGCAAAGGTTGCTGACTGAATGTCAGTTTTGAGAGACTGTTCTCAGTAAATAACCTTTTACTGGCTTTCTTCAAGCACCCTTTGGGTTGCTTTTAAGTTCTTCATTTCAGCCGTGCTTTCTGTGAAGTGAACACTAAAGGAAACAAAAATTTCCAGTTTGTCCTAATACACGTTATATGTGTGCTTGAATGAGGGAGTAAAAGAAACAAAGGCGAAGGAGTATGACGACCAGTTCTATTACAAGTGAGCTTCCTCAGCAAGCTGTTTCCTCTGAAATGCCTGCTGTGACAGACACTTCCTTTAGCAGCCACTCGTGCGGTTTGCGCTCAGATACCACAACAGATGCAAAGAACATCCTGGTCGAGGGGCCCAGTGGGAATGTTGGATCGTTGGCCCTTGGGAAGTAACCTTGACCTTCTGGTAGTTGTTCAAAAGCCTTTGCATCCATACTTTCCTAAATACAGCAGGTACTACTTTTTTTTTTCACTATTTCAGGCACTATCCAGTTACCATCAAAAAGAATTAGGGAAAAGATGGGGCCACAGTGTATCCTGAACATTTGTAACAGGATGTTGAAATGCATACTGATCTTCTTGAGAGAATAATTTATGTTTTGCTCTGGAGATGTAGGGTCTGCTGTTGGCAGTTGTATGCTGCTTGCAAACGTGATTACTGCACCTGCATTGCTGTTCTTTAGACTCACTGCAAAAGTCAGTGTCAGTCAGAGGAGATGGAAACATATGTTGGTTTAAAGCTGTGCACAGTGCTCAGATGGTATACAGCAGATTTCGAAAGTTAAAATAATGAACAGTATGCTGTGAAATATAATTGCTTGTCAAAGCAATAATCTGTGTGTCTTCCAGCTCTTCCTACGAAAGCAGTGGCATTGTGACAACTGGGCAGAGATACTTACTGAAGTGGAGCGTGCCCCTGGGGCAGGTGGAAGTCATAGAGTACGGCAGCAGCGAGGGCCAAGGGGAGAACTGCAGGTTTCCACCTCCGCACTCTACTGAGAGCATCATTAACTCCAAGCCGAGTAAGTGACAGGCATTTGTACTTACATATCTTTAATCTTTGTTAAAACCTGTATTTGTCTGTAAATGGGCTACTGAAAGCAAAGAAAAACACTTTGTGCCTCAAGACTTGTGTAGCATGGATGGTAATATAAAGTCTTCCCTGAAAACTGAAAACCTGTAAAGTGATAGCCAGCCTCTCACCTTGGAATGTAAATTACTTCAGTTTATTTCATCTTACAGTTTTATGGCATAAAAACATGAATGTGGTGGACATGCAAAGAGGTTATTGTCGTTTGGTATGCCTGCTGTCCTACTGTAGTTAGTTGTACATATGTTCTTATCCCAGTGTTAATGCAAGGACATTTCCCTCAGCAAAAAAGACAAGCTGCTCCATCACTGTGGAATAAGAGCTTGGATACAGGTGGTTGCTGCAGGGTGGAAGTTATTTCACTGGATTCCACAGTATCCTATCCTTCAAACACAGTATCAAGTGCCTCAGAAAAAAAAAATGCAATAATGATTTTAATGAATGTTTATGAAACTGTGCCACTAAGTAATTTCCTTCTCTTCCTCCAAATGACTTCAATGTCTGAAGTTGGAGAAATCTTTTTGTGCTCCTTAATCTCTCCTACAAGCCTGCCAGCTACCCTCAAGAGATGTATGGATTTCAAAAGTTTACTCAGTAGCTAGCCTTTTATAAATAATGAATTATTTTTATACCATAAATCTTTTATTTTTAAGTACATTTAGTATATCTAGTTTGGTTTAGTTGCTTTTAATTTGCTGAGTCTGGGCATTTATTTCACACTCTGTTTATTTAACATTGCATTCTTGCCTTGTGAGCTTTCCCACAGTCCTTCCCTAAGAAATAAATATTGTACTTGAGCGCTGCCTGAGATGCAGCTGCAGCATCTAATACCTCCCTTGTTCTCCAAGGTGGCTCTTGTTAGACCTTCTTGCTCCTCCCTTTGTAAACAGCACAAGAAAGTTCTTAAAGTACGCAGGTTTCAATTTCAAAGTTGACTTTATTTTGTAACTTTTTAGACATTAGCGAGCTACTTGGACAATGTGATTGAAGCTCTTAAGTTATTTTTTACCAACTGCTGTATATATGACCCCAAGAGGAGTGTGTATAAAGACTGTACTACCTAGAATTGGGGGTTCCCTTCCCGGGAGAGTGTGGGAGGAGCTGCTCATTGCAACACTCCTAGTGTGACATGGTTGATTAGATCCTTGCCCTTCTGGGAGATCAGATGAGGAAGCAGAGGATGAAAGAAAAAAAAAAAATCCTCACGCAAACAATCCAGTGGAACCTACCTGATTCTCTTGGCTTTGAGGTTTCTTAGTTTCATAGTGTTTGGTGATAATATCAAAAAATGTCAAATGTTTTTGCACATCATCTGGAGTCTCAATGTTCAGCTTAAATGGTATTCAGTGGGTGAAAGGCAAGATTTGCTGCTCTGTTGGCAAACTCTGATCATTATATTATTTCAATCCCCTTCTAACCAAAGAGGTCAAAAGGTGAGAGTCAAAAATAAACAGAATATGAAGGTTGCTAGTTATGTAATTGAATAGATCTTTGGCAGAATCAAAGGCATTTGTAGGTAGGTATTTGTAGGTTTCTTAATGCTGTTTTCTAATAGAGTAAATTTATGATTTTTGTTTATAATCTCTAACGATATTTAAAGCACAAAATAATTCACATTTCAGGCTATTTTTGTTGTTTTTTAATAGTATGATTATCAGATCTCATTTTACTTTGCAAATTAGTCAAAATTCTCTTTTCTGTATTGGAGTTACTCTTGCCTGAAAGTCTGTGGCCCAATTGGATGGTTGTAGTGAAAATATTTCTCACTTGTGTGTGCCAAAGCCTGAGATTCCAGAGAGACCTAATGTGCTAATTTACTTATATAGAACCATTTGCAGGAAGACGCAGGATGACATTCCTGCCTCATAAATCCACATACTGTTTCAGATAGGCTCTTACTAATTGTTTCTCTCCATCTCAATCTTTTAAAAGTGTTAATTCATGTGAAGAAGCATATACATATTCATAGTATCAAAGAAGCTAAATTAATATTGGAAAAGTCATGAACACTAAATTCTATATTTTTGGATTTGATTTACTTTTGCTGAAAGAATTATGTCTTTTTGAACTCTGTTATGCAACACATACAGAGTGTTTTGGAGTTATGAGGATGTTTAGTTTGCTTTCGTTGGAAGGTATGAGAAGTACTATAATGTTAGGTGCAGTTGTTAATGTAAGAAAAAAGATCTATGTTTCAAACCCCAAAGATAATTCAGCAATAGGGTTATACAATATGGGAACATTCGTATGTTCTAAAATGTTTGAAAAGCTCAAAGAAGATAGGCTTCCCTTGGTGTCAATTTGTGATTTCTTTTTATCCACATAGTTATATCCTAGTGAATGATATTTCTTCAATAAAAACAAGATGAAAAGTTGATTTGGGAAGAGGGCTCTCAATAAGTTAAGTGCTACCTGTGTTCTAATAAAATAGAGAATGGATCAAGGAGCAGTGAATGCGACTTGTTTGGTGCAGTCCTAAAAGTGTCTTTCCAATAAAATATAAAAAGGTGTCCAAAGACAACTTTTTAACTTCTTACCAAAATATATTATATTCTCCTCAAAAAGAACCAAGACAGTTGACCAGCAATTGCAAATATCCCCTCCACACATAGAAACACTGAAAATGTCTCATAATGAGCTTTAAAGGCAGCCAAAATAGGCAACAGTCAAATACACAGCACAGAATTTCAGTTTTCTGGACCCTGGGCAAGTACTTCTACTAGCGGTAGAACTTTGCTCAAGCTGTCGAAGGACAATGAATTGTGGATTCTCTGCTGGGATGAGTTTCTGTTTGCTGCTGTAGTGGATGTGACCACACAATGTGTTTTTCTGGTTGTCAAGGCAGCCTAAGGATGAAAAGGGCGAGCTGTAAAAGTCTTTCAGAGTGTCTCAAACAAAGACAACCAAGTTGCAGAGACTCTGAAGGAGCAAAGGGAGGAGGCTAAAAGTCTTTCCATTTCTGGGGGAGAAGCCAAGTGTCGGCTGGGTTGTCTTGGCTCACTGCTGCTGGTTGTGTTGATCAGCAGTCATAAACACCGGAGGCTATTACTTAAGGAAATAATCATTTAATTTTAACCATATGGCTAAAAAATGAAAGAGAGAATGAGCAAGGCCCATCTGCTCTATATATCCTTTAATTCTGACTGTAGGAGGTAACAGTAAAGCAAAACTTCAGCATGTTTACATTTATGGTGGAGGCTTAAAGTTATTTTTAATTTCACAGGTTTACAGAACATAACAGGGGTCAGGCTTTAGCCCGGCTGAGCTCTGACTTGTCTGCTCTCCCAGTCAGTCTTGCTGGGGTGAATTGGCGCTCCGTTTCCACTTGCTGCGGTTCATGTTTATTGTCAGAAGCCGTAGTAACGCCACGCTGAAATGCAGACGTGACTCTTCTCGTCCGCGTTTCCTTCTGCTTTATGCAGGCAGCTCACGCGTGTTGTCAGGGAGACAGGCGCGTGTCTCATGGGCTCGTGTATCCCTGTGTTCCTGCAAATGTTTTCCTTGAGATTAGAAAAACCTTCTCAAAGACAGAAATAACACTGCTGCGATAGCCACTGCTGTCGAGCTGATTTCTGCTGGTTTGTCTCATGAGAAAGGCAGAATTGGGGAAGGACAGAAAAGTCAGCTGTATCATTCCACTAAAGCTGGACAATTGTAATAGAGTGTCTAGAGTAAACAAGACCAAATGTTAAATGATATTTCAAGTCTAACATTGATTATAAGGTTTTAAGAAGGATGGTAGTGCCGACACTGCTAGTTCAGCCAACTTTCATCTCTGTGAAGTATATGTAGAGTTACGATGTAAATCTCTGTTTTAAAACAACAGCTCATAATACTGTGCACTGAAGGAGATGTAATATGTCCCTAAATGTAAACTGTCACTGATACCTGTCAACAGAAGACCAGAGATTTTAAATAAATCTGATTCTGGATGCAGCCTGTTTGGCTGAGCAAACCAGGTGCATTTAAATAGTTCGCTTTCTTAAGAAGATACATGTAACCAACTGGTGGATTAGGCATGGATTAAATTAGGTGTTACATGTTTGTCTCACTCACTTACAAAGAATTCTTCTGATTTCCTGTCGTATTTCTTGTAGTGGTTATAGAGCTTGACATAGAGTGCTGATAATCCTTCTTCTGAATTGCTATAGGGGTCTGTTTCACTTCATGACACTGCCCAGTAAGATGAGGAGAAGCCGGGGTACAACCCGGCGGGCCGGAAGGAGGGAGGGAGGAGAGCTCCTCGCAGTGCACTTCCCACCTGAGGCGCAGACGATCCGGCCCCACCTGAGGCGCAGACGATCCGGCGGCTCAGCCCTCTGAATTCCAGGGAACCTCCGCCTGCCCAGCCAGCCCGTGGTCGTGGCCCATCCTCCAGACCCCGGCTGTGCTTTCCGTCTGCGATGCGTTCACACCCGCTGCCACTGCTTTGTTATGCTGCTTTTATCTTCTCACATCCCTTCCTCTCTCGGCCTTTCATCCTTGCGGTTTCAGCCCCACAGAGGCACCATGCCAGCTCTTCCCTCCTCCTAGGAGGCTTCCCGGTCTGTGCTGCCTTCACCTGACCTTTGGGATGCCACAGGAGGGCACGATTAAAGGGCAAGTCCTGTCTTTCATTGGAGGCTGCTGCAGGGTAACTGTCAGTGCCAGGGCCTGAAGCTGCTGGGATCCATAACTGCACACGGCTGTGTTTGGGGAAACGTCTCGTAGCTGCCACTGTTGGTGTGCGGCTGTGGAGCTGGACGGTGGCTCCAGACTGTCACTCCAGTGGGAATTCAGCTCCATGTTCCCTCCCACTTTCATTTCCTCCTCCTTTGCCACAGGACAATTGTTTATGTGCTGCTATATCAGAAATATTTATGGCATTATATTTTTAAATTTCCCTGCCCTGTCAGGATTAGCTCAAGTTTTGTATAATTCTTAAACCACACT